TATAGATAGATAGATACATACATAGATAGATATACATATAAATATATATATATATAGAGAGAGAGAGAGATTCATGTACATATATATATATATATATATATATATATAGATAGATAGATAGATAGATAGATATACATATATATATATATATATATTTATATGCATATGAGTGTGCGCGTGTACACACACATATACTTTAGCTCAATTCAGTGAACACGATAATATATTTTAGTTAAACGCACTTGCATTTAATTATCAAATGTCTTTTGATATATATATATATATATATATATATATATATATATATATAATCTACAAAGCGATTTAAAAAATTTGTTTAACGTTTGAAGAGATTGATACATAAGTCGACTGTAGTGATGAGTTTCATTCTCACTGGTTAAATTTCGCCGTGTAAATGAAGCTTGCTATATCTGAAATGTATGTGGTTGGCGAATATGAGACGATATGGTTTGCACGTAACTTTATCTCACTCTCTCTCTCTCTCTCTCTCTCTCTATCACTTCCTGTTTTTACACGCGGGCAGAAACACATATATGTACACACACACACACACACACACACACACACACACACACACACACACACACACACACATATATATATATATATATATGTATTGGTAAGTTCGTTGATAAAATCCTATGTAGAAATCGTAGATATACATGGAGATACTCTTTTTTATTCTTTCTTGCATTGTAGGTGCATTCACTCTCCTCTTTTTCATTTCCTTTTTGCTTCAAACATAGTGTTTGCACCCGAGCAGACAGTGCATCTTTCCAGATAAGCAGTTATTTCCATTTAGGAGGTGCAGATATACTTACATATCCCCCCACAACAAAACAAAAGGAGAAAACGCTCTAGCGCTTATGAACACTCGCACGGGTCGAAAACAACTATTTAGTCTTAGCCTGTATATCAAGATATTCGACAAAATGAAGAACATTTCTCAGTCTTTCTTTTTTTTTTATTCTGTATTAAATTTTATCTAATAGCTTTACTACTATCTTAATTGTTGGTTGCTTTAATCGCAACTTTATTTCTCCGACAGTATATAGAGAACACAGATAGAAAATAATTTTGGTGAGATACAAACACACTTTTTCTTTGCGCCAAAGAACCTTTTAAACGTTCAAATTCTTTTACTGACTGGACTACGTAAACCAAACGATATGACGAAGAAATCTTATCATTTTTTTTAACCGTTTCACCCCAAGCAAGGCGGGAAGCCACTAGGACGCAAGGGGTTAGAGAAAATTTAGAGCAAGATCCGATAGGAGTGATAGAAGAAAGGATGAGGAGGAGGGTAGTGGATAGATCAAGGCAACAGGAGATGTCGATTGACATTACATTTGAATAGCTGGAGATTATAGCTCTCAGGGAAGCAGGGATAGGGAAGGGAGTTCCACAGGCGAGAGGTGCGAGACATGAAGCTATTGGAGTAGAAGAGACGGCTACATTTAACAGTTTCGACAGTGAAAGGGTGAGAGCGGGATGACAGCCTCGTAGGGCGCTTGAACTCATGAAGTCTGGGAACCAGCAAATGCAGCTCCTCGGAGCAATTGCCATGAAAGTATTTGTAAAACAGACAGAGAGAGGCGACGGCGAGTCTGTGAGAAAGTGACGGTAGACGAGATGCCAGAGCAGGGTCAATTATATTGCATATCCGCCTCTGGAGCCTATCACGAACCCCGAGGCAAACAGAAGGGGCTCCAGACCATTTGTTTCTCCCTTCCTTATTTACACTGTACTGCCGCTACGTCCGAACAAAATATATTTTTGTCTGATTGGTCTCAAATTATAACACTACTCATGTGTCATGTGTATAATTTTTTTAAAATCATTGCAGCCATTAATTTTAAAAATTCCTTTTCTTTTTTATTTCACCGCAAGCAAGATGAGACCAATGTGTTGCACCTCTGGAGGTTAGCAACATCCATTGAAGACAATAAAATTTCTCTATGGTGATTAAAAGATAATTTCGTTTTCGAAGCGTTAAAATTTACAGGCCATTCCTTGCCCTAGTTAACAACTGATTGGAGATAATTTTTGAAGTCAACTGCCTATGTGACTTTGTCGGACCTATCGGAGTTACTATTAATACAGGAGTAAATAGTTTTGCCATTAGTACTTATGTTACTAATTACAAACACAATATTCCATGTAATATTAGTGTTTGAAACTTTCATATTATATAATATGTTTGTGTGTATATATATATATGTGTGTGTATATATGTGTGTGTGTATGTGTATATATATATTAATGTATAAAGGTAAAAGACAATAGGAAAACTGTATTATTAGTCGACGCGTTTCGTTCAATACTGTCTTTTTCAAGGCAAAACTAAATGAATTTATTCATAACAAAGTAACTATTAACAAGAAACAAAATGTCCTTAGCAACTAGAAGAATTTAGAAAAACGCTATTGTATTCATATTGTTAACTGAAAATTACAATATGTATACAATATGTTTTCTAAATTCATCTAGTTGCTAAGGACATTTTGTTTGTGAGATTTTAGTTACTGTTTTCAATAAATTCCTTTCGATTTTTTATTGAAAAATCGACATATATAAAAATTACGTCAGTTTTCCTATTGTCTTTTACCTTTATACATATTTTTTTTCTATAGGTTAACTCTGAGAAATTTTTCATATATATATATATATATATATATATATATATATAATCATTTATTCATAAATTTCTAAACTTTTTAACATTTAATCAATTATTATGCTTATTACCATTTTATAAAGTTCCAATTGGCAATTAGCCGATGTTTTGCCAACCATTCCAATAAATTTTGTTCATTTTTGTTGTCAGTTCTCAAGAACAAAAAAAATGTATAAATTTACTTTCATATGTTTAGGCTTTATTACAGTTTTATTCATCATTTTTTAAAAACAATAAACAGGAGTGAAGGTAGTTAAAATAATAGCGGCGTCAAAGGAAAAAAATGCCCTTTTCACACTGCATTTTTTTGCGGCACAAATGTCCATGTGTGCCAAATCAAACAATCCTTAAAACTTAACATTTGATTTACACCTCCACTTTTAACATCTGAGTTACCCTCACCTCCTGAGGGTTTTTTTTTGTGGCGCGATGCCTGTATTATGTCTCTTTCGAGAAAATTAACTTCGAATGGAGTTATATATATTTGCAGAATGGGTATAATGTGGAAAAGAGAAGAGCCGCTCGTTTTGATAATATTTGGCCATGATTTTTCTTTAACAATTGACCATATAATTTTTTTGTAGTTAATTCAAAATATAAGCATGTCAGTCACCAAGAAATATACAAGATGCGAAGGTAAAGACTGGCATTTGGAGATTTCATTAATGTTTTTTCTTGCTCTCTAACGCTGATCAAGAAGACCCACACCTAACCGACCAATTCTGTGGCAAGGGTCTGCTTCAAATCTGCTTGGTCTTATCAATTTGCCGTCTAATCTTCGTTTATTTTCTGGGAGGGTCGGGAAGCGTTGCCTCTAGTGGCCCAGGAGAAAAAAAATTGAAGAAAGCAAATAGGAAATAGAGAGAGAAAAACTTCGCCAAAAATAGAGACGTGGGTGGAAGAATCAGAGTAAAAGATGGAGAAAATTAGAATATAGATCATTAAAAGGTGTGACTAAGGGAGGAGTTTAAGAGAAAGGCCGAGAGAGGAAGTGGGGAGAGCAAGAGGAGAAATTTAAGAAGAGAGATTAGAGAAAATAAGATAGAGAGAGAAAGAGCAAAGAACAAGAGAGAAAATAGAGAGTAAATAAAATCAGAGGCAAACATGGAGCCTCGAGTAAAACTAAAAAAAAAGGTAAGCGCAAAAGAGATTAGAGAGAGAGAGAGAGAGAGAAGAGAAAGCAAAAGAAAAAAAGGAGAGCAGAGATAAAAAGAGAAGAGAGAGGAAAGATGAAGAGAGGTGAATGATGAACAGAGAGATGTGAGATTGATTATAGGGAGAGATGAAAAAGCAATAGAGAGGAGAGAGTAAGAGGGAAAGTGGGGTGAAAACAAACAAGTGATGTGAAAGAGAGAGGAAGAGCAAGAAAATTGAGGAAAATAAAGAGAGCAGAAAGATATAGAGAGAGGGAGAGTAAGAGAGGACACGAAAAAAATAAGCGTGTGACGTGAGAGAAAAGAGAGAAAATATCTCTTAAGTGAGGGGAGAGAAAAAGAGAGAAATAGAGCAGATAGAGCAAAAAGAGAGGAAGAAGGAAGAGAAATAAAAAGAGAGGTGACTGCAAAAGGGAGGGGGGAGAAGTAGAAAATAGAAGAAGCGGATTAAAGAGAGGTATAGTCGAAGAAAGAAAGAAAGATTAAGAAACAAAGAAAGAAGGAAAGAAAAAAGATTAAGAAACGAAGAAAGAAAAGAAAGAATGAAAGAAAGAAAGAATGAAAGAAAGAAAGAATGAAAGAAAGAAGGAAAATAGAAGAAAAACGAGTAGCTGGAAATAGAAAGAAAGAAAGAAAGGAGAATTAAAAAGAAAGAAACAGAAGAAAAAGAGTGGTTGGAAAGGGAAAGAAAGAAAGAAAGAAAGAAAGAAAGAAAGAAAGAAAGAAAGAAAGAAACAGAAGAAAAAGAGTGGTTGGAAATGGAAAGAAAGAAAGAAAGAAAGAAAGAAAGAAAGAAAGAAAGAAAGAAAGGGAAAAAAAATAGAAAGGGAAGGGATGAAAAAAATAAAGGGAGTTCGTTGATTTTTATTTTTAGCGGCATATCAACCTACTTGTCTTATCCAATGCCGAAATCTAAATATATTGTACGTAATTTTATCATTTCTCTAGTGTGTGTGGAGGAAATAACAATGGTTTACTGATAAAAGTCTTACTAATTAACCCATAGCTGGGGGTAGAAGTGGTAGATTCATACATTTCCCAAAGGTATTTGCGCGTAAGTGAATATAACGAACCCAACGGGAATTGGAACTCGGCTCTCCGATTAACAATTGCAAGCCATTATCCATTACACCACCCGCACACCCAAGCTTACAGCACCTGCTATTCTCAAGCGAGCACCCCAACTAGGTACTGACCTTATTCGACGTTGCCTAACTTCGGTGATCGTACGGGAACCGGTGTTTCAACGTGATGCGGCCGTAAGCCAATAAAGGGGAAGGAATAAAGTAAAGAATAGACGTGAGTTAAATAAGATGATGACGTGAGAGGAGGAGGAGTTGAGAATATTTAAAAAAAAGAAAAAGGAAATAGAGAAAAAATTAAGGTAGAAGTGAAACGTATAGAAGAGAACAAAATAGAGATAGTGAAAGTCAAGGAATAAAAGAGAGAGAGAGAGAGAGAGAGAAGGAGGGAAATAAGGAAAGGTGAGACAGAGTGAAAATAAAGTAGTAGTAGTAGGAAGGAACTGATAATGAAAGTAAGAGGGAGAGAGGAACCCTAACAGGTACTACCGCCTCGGGCAAGGGTAGACTCGGGAACTACAACAACATTTAAGAGGTGGTTCCACGCTCCTCAAAACCTCCTGATCAGAAGCCCTGCTGCCGGATGTAGTTCATCGTCATGCCCAGGACGGACGTCTGATGCAGCATGACAATATGAGATCACATAGTGGCTCATCCACCCTACAGGCCTTACCTCGTACCTTCAAACTTTCAACTGTTTGAGACCATAAATGAGGCGCTCAGAGGAAATCGTTTCTCAAGTGATGGTGAAGTGAAAGGGGTAATACGCACTTGGCTAAGAAACAAGCCAAGACCCTTGTACGAGGCGGATATACGTGCACATTTTCAAAGTTGGGAACTATGTCTGGAAAGAACGAATAACTGGGGACTAGAACAGATTTTGGGGTTTCCTTTTTAGTATGATTCATATCATTATATTTATTGTGATTAAAGATGTTACCTTTTGAAGGACCCTAGTTCTTCTTACTTACTCTAAAGAATTTGTATAAATCATAATTATCACTTACACTGCCGTAGACGTATTTATACGTCTTTTTGAGACTTACATTGTGTTGATAAATAGGGTATCCCTGAAATCACCTAGCGTTTTACAAATCTACTAATTACAGAAATATTTTATTATTTAAAAATAATTTTATACAGAATAAAAATTCAAATATTGAAAATATATTTCCATTTAATTACAAAAAAATCTTCCATTTTTGACTTCAGACAGACGTCCTCTTTTAATAGCATTAATCATAACAGGGGTTAATAAATCTGGTTGAAGCCCTGAAATTTCTGCACAGATATTATCCTTGAGTTGCTTAATTGTCGGTAAATCTGTACACATTTTTAAGGTATTTTCACCCCCACCAAAAAAAAAAAAAAAAAAAAAAACTAACCAGGAAGTTTCAGGTCATGAGAATATGGTCACTATATTTTTTGTAATTTCACAAAATTAGATGGATTGGTTAAATCCAAAATAAAATTCCATGATTTTTTTTCTTTGTTCAGTTGTAAATTTGTCCATGTGTAATTTCGCTGTTAATACAAGTTCTGAAATAAAATAGGAATAAAAATATGAAAAATCTGGCGCTTTATGACATTTTTGAATACCGAGGTGATTTTTGTAGTTCCTTGTTTTCAAGATGTCCGTCCCTAGATTTTTTGTTATGAACTAATTCTACGTGCTATTTTCAAACTAGCCAAGATATATAAGTTTTGTTAAGTTTTGTTTTGTAACGTAAATATGTCATTACAAAATTTACTGCTATTGACACACACACACATATATATATATATATATATATATATATATATATATATATATATATATATATATATATATGTGTGTGTGTGTATTTCTTTAAAACTCCGTGAAATATTTATCGCTAAATTTTGTATTATAAAGTGTCTAGTTTTCAGTGCTATATCCAAACCAGCGTAGATATATAAGTTACAATAAAGTTTGTTTTGTAACGTAAATATATCATTACAAAAACTGCTACTGACAAACTGTCGACAAACACACACGCAGACATACATATATATTTATATATATATATATATATATATATATATATATATATATATATATATATATATATATATATGTGTGTGTGTGTCTTTAAGACTCCGTGAAATATTTATCTGCAGTGTTTGTATTATAAAAAGTAACTAGTTTTCAGTATTATTTCCAAACCAGTGTAGATATAGTAAACGATTTCTTTTTGTGATGTATTTTTATTGGATTGTATGTTGGAGATGTAGTTTTTAGTTTAATCTGGACTGAAAATCGAAACCAAAATGGCGGCGGCCATGAGAAATCGCCGCCAGCATATTTTTATTTATTTATTTTTAATCATTTCATCCCAAGCAAAAGGCGATAATGCAACTAAGACGAAAGAGTTTACTGCCTTTGAAAGAAAATCAGAAAAAAATTAGGAGAATGAATCAGAAACAAGTTATAAACCTCTACTCCTGTTCAAAAGATTTTGAAGGAATCTGAATTTTATAGTCATTTATTTCTATTAAATGCCAAAGTACTATATAAGTGAACTAAACTTTGTACATTTAAATCTCATTTTAAAAGTCATAGAACTTTATTAAAAACAATATGTTTTTCTTCTGTTCTTTTTGCTGGTTAACTCGAATTATAATATTGTAATTATATTTAACAATGCTATTACAATGCAGCAGTAAGTATGATAAAAGGAAGGGCTAGTGCGTACTACCCCTGAACCACCTAACCGGAGGGAGGCAAACCTGATTGAGTCCAAGGGCAATGCTTTGTGATTTCGCTAATCAAAATCTGCTTTTTTTCCACATAGATTTATATTACCTTATAAATTAAACAAAGCGGAACTGGCTATTAAATGATGAAACATTTTGATGCCATTCTGAGTTCTTTTTCTTCTACCAAATCCGTGAATTTATCTTGCTCATGTTAAGTATCGAAAAAACACAATATAACATCCAGTAATTTTTTTTATCCATAATGTTGAATGTGTTAAAATCATTCAATTTTTTAACATAAAAATCTCAAATTAGTGTTAAAAATTACTAGAAAATATTGTTGATTTATTTAACATGAAACTGTTTATTATGACATGTCTCTAATTTTTTATTTAGATAGATTGTGATTATTTTCAATTTTTCTAGTTGAATCTTTCACTTGCATTGCATATGATGCATTACTGTACATAATTAGGTTACAATAAAATTTGTATTTTAAATGAAAATTGAGATGTAGTAGAGTTGGGTGCTTATAGATTGGGGGGCATTGTAGATCCGAGAGTGCAAGGTACGAAACTATTGCAATGTCCCTGGTAAGAGGAGCATTGGTTAAGTTAAATAAATGAATAGTCCTGGTAAATAATTTATAACCTCTAAACACGTAAGAAAACAAAATCAAATCTTATTCAAAATGGAACGTTAAAAACACTGATAAAAAAAATAAAATAAACATTATATATATATATATATATATATATATATATATATATATATATATATATATATTATATATTTATATTTATTTATATATATATATTTATATTTTATATATGTATATATGCAATCGTCAGGCCTGACGATTGATTATAGCATGAAACAGACTGTCGCCTCTAAGTGTTGACTTCTATGTTCAGTTTTATATTTACACACGCTCTATCTCTGATATTGAGCACTTTATTCCATAAATATCGCACACCTTAAAACTATATTTCTTTATATATATATATTATATATATTTTATATATATTTATATATATATATTTTATATATATTTTATATATATATATATATATATATATATTTTATATATATATATATATATATATATATATATATATATATATATATATTTTTACATCTATATATATATATATATATATCATATATATATATATCATATATATAGATCATATATATATATATATATATATATATATATATATATATCATATATATAGATCATATATATATATATATATATATATATATATAGATCATATATATATATATCATATATATATATAGATCATATATATGTATAGATGATATATATATATATATATATATATGAATTACATAAAAATGAAATACATTTATATCCATATTTTTATGAGCATTTCGCTCATAAAAAAAGTTTCAAAATTGACAAGCTCCAGGAAATTTATGGCCATCTTTATATAATTGATTTCTATGCTCTGTGATAAATATATTGAGCTCTCTTTAATGAATCAGTTTTAATATTTTATATTAATAGGATTCATTTGGATTACTTACACGCAGATATTACCCTCCCTCTCTCTCTCTTTCTCTTCATATATATATATATATATATATATATATATATATTAAGAGACGCAACGATAAAAGATCTGACACCTTTCACTTTTTTAAAAGTCTCTAAAAAGTTGCATTAAATAAATACGGAAAAATAATAATGATAAGCAAAGAAAAAATATCGTTTCAAAAACAACAAATAAAACGCTAGTTAAAAACAAAAAAGAAAAAAAAAAGAAAGAAAACTGCTGACAGTTTGACGCAGCCTCGTTTTCGGTTCAGTAACCGGTGCAATTAGTTAAGTTGCAATCTAAAAATGAATAGCGACAAAACGTGCTTCATTAGCGAACAGCACATGGCTGAGCTGGAGAGCAACCAGTATGGTTTATAGTGTCGGACTAAACACCATACATTGACACTCTGCCACAACTAATTTCCCTCCACCTTTTGTTTCTTCAATTTATTCAAAGCTTAAATTCTGCTTATCCGTCTTTCCTCCTGCGCAAAACTGATTACTGATTAGCTGCAAGGGTTCCTGGCATAACGACTAACAAAGTCTGCAATCTGTCCGTAAAATTGAAACTCGCTCTTTCTCTTTCAACATCTGCTCTTGGTAGAAAAAAGAACGAAGCTTTTAAAAAAAATTAGAGGAAGAAGACAAGAAAAGAGAAAAAAAAATCAAGAGCATGTGTGGTCTTTGGTTAACAGATATGCTGTCTTATTAAAATAGATTATACAGGTTTAAAACGATCTGATGTTGTTGGTTGCAAAAGGTTTTATTTCATTCTTTTGGAACTTGTGGTTTGGAAAAAATATCCTTTTACAGATTAAAGTACAACCATGGTTATTTCTATCGCTCCAGTATGAACGGCCCATTCTCCAACCTTCTTCAGATGGTGGTTGAATCC